CCCCAAAACCCCAAAACCCCAAAACCCCTGTCCTATTAATAATTATTGAAACGAAATGTTTATTTGGTTGTTACATTATTTCAGTCGTTCTCTGAACATAATAGGAATCTGATCTTGATTGCTGAATATTATTTTCCCTTTGCCTCCAATAGTAAGCTTTGTGGATCCTTTTTTGAGCCTTGGTAGGACTGAAGCAGTCACTCCAGGCCGTTTTATCCTCCGACTGAGATTAACCAGAGAGCTAGTGCCTATAATGTAATTGCTAAAATTACCTTTTTGCATATTAGATGGCTGTAGTGGTTTCATTTGTTCTTCATTTTTATAAAACGAGTTATAATAACTTTTATGAACATTTTTGGAGTTATTTTGTTTTGGTATCAATAACTTCAATTGAGGGGAAACTCTCAGGGATCGCCTTGCTTGACTCTATCTCAGCTGAGGATCTCTTCTCTCGTAACTGGCGGTGTAGGGGCAACTCTTTATTATGACCTGCTGAAATTTTGTGCCGCTTGTAAGAGGTTTCGTCATTTAGTGAGCCATCTATAAAGCTTGACTTATTTGAACGGAATCTGGATTCTGCTGATATTTATATTTTTACTTTCAATGTCCTTATTTGAACTCATGAGATTGCTGACTCACAACACTTTTACGATTTTTAAAATACTTGCCAGGGTTGCCCTCTCGAAAGTATTTTGGGGGCTTTGAGTGAGGCATAGAGCTATTTGTTAAAATAAGAGAGTCTGTCTTGGTCAGACTTTCTTATCTTTACAAACGTGTTCAGCTCTTTGCTTCGCAATTGTCTGTTATTTCAGCGCATTGAACTCTGCAACTATCAGAGATTTTCCTGAGTCGTGATCTTTCTTATTAGAAATTAGTTCAATTTGTAAGAGTATTACACTTTTTATAGTTAGTAGTATCGACTATTCTCTCAAATTTAAAGCTGGAAGGAAACATTGAGGTAAGTTCTGTCACAAATGGTCTTTTTGATTTCTGTTTTTCTAGCATCTTGTAAATGAACTCTTTTAATTTAACAGAGTATCATCCTTGTAAGTGTTTTGGAGGCTTGAATTGTATGCATTTTAGTAATCCCTCTATAGTGTCTGAAACAAAGGGAGGCTTCAAAGCAGTTAGATGGTAAATTATACATCCGAATCCCCATACATCTACTCTGTGATCATAATTTTCATGCTTGATTACTTCAGGGGAGAGATACATTGGGGTGCCAACAGCTTTACCTGAGAGATAATCCATTTTGTTAAGAAATTTTGACTCCCCAAGATCACCAATCTTTAGGACACCATCTTTGATCATGACATTCTGACTTTTGAGGTCTCTGTGGATAATATCGTTTGCATGTAAATGAAGTATTCCTAATAATATTTGCCTTGCGAAATTCCAAATGCATTTTTCAGAGAAGAACTTGCCAGCATCTTTCTGCTTCTTAATTAGTGAGAGGAGGTCTCCTCCATCTGCATATTCCATGACCATGTAAAGGTATTCACTATCAACGAAGGAAGTATGGAGTTTAATAATGTTGGGATGGCTGATATTATTTTAGCATAAAGACTTCTTTTAAGACGTCTTTAGATTTCTTTCCAATTTTGATCCTTTTAATCGCATATTTCTCTTGAGACTCGTCTAAATTTAAAGGACTGGGGTACCTGACTTGAGCTTTCATTTATAAACCGTTCCAGTGGCTCCACTTCCGATTTCAGAAATAATCTCGTAGTCTATAAGGGAGGCTTTGCCTTTCTTTTTAGACTTTCTCTTGCCAGGACTTTCAGTATTCATTTTTAAATATTTTATAATATTTGTTCAAGATGGTATGAAAGCACTGGGGTTTTGGGGTTTTGGGGTTTTGGGGTTTTGGGG